CTCGTCAAACAGTTACGTGAGTAAGCTGGAAACAAAACATTATAATAAAAAGATACTCATAATAAAAAAAAGAGTTGCATAACTGCACACATCACAAATGCCAGATCTGTCAATAACAAGTTATGTTCTAACAAAAAATTGTATCAAAAAAAACTAAAACAAAATAAAAATTTACGCGCAAAATACTATTTTGAAACCAGTCGTTAGTTAACGCATTCAATGTTTCAAACACGTTTGTTTATTTGTAGCTAGGTACAGTATGTACTGAATTTATTTACTAAACTTTTGCTATCACATAAACAGAAAAATGTAGTTTTTTATTGCCTGAATAGATAAAGTACAGTTTCGTTCGATATTGCAGCATAGATTATTAAACCTTTTTCATGGACTTTTCCAAAGTCACCAAATTCTGGAACCATATGAGTTAGGTTCAAATAAATTTAGAATCTTTTTAAAAGAAACTTTTATTTCGTTTCGCATGAATGGTCATGTAAACTAAACGCGTATAGAAAATATCAGATCAATCGATTGAAGATATCTACTTCAAAATTCAGTTGTAAGATTCCACTTCATACACATACATATTCATAAACAACTAAACATATGTACATACATATCAAACATAGTAAGAATCGATTTTAAATCGACACACCTCGTTATCGAGTTAGTTAGCATCGATTGTGACGTAGCGAGCGTGAACACCTAACCGTCCATCACGGATCACTGGGCCTCGATGCGCAATGTTTTGAACTGGACCCACAATAAGCGGTGATTGGATTATTATCATAGTAAAACTATAGATTAAACATATAAATAAATAATATTCTTGTACTTTTATAGGCTTCGTTTAGTCTGAAAGAAAACAAATAAAATGTATGTAACATCCACTTTTCGCTAATTCAGTTATCATCGTTACAGATTAATTTGAATTGAACTATGTATTGACACGTGAGTGTGCAAAAAGGGATAAAATTATTCGAATAACACTTAAAGAATTATTCAATTTAAGCGAGAACAATGACAAAAATATAATTACGATACGCAAGGGAATCGCTTAAAAGCTTGAAACTGACATAAAAACACTTCAAAGTCAATATCAACAAAGAACGTTGCAGGGCACAGAATCCATTTAGTCATCCCCGCGTGGCAATACGCAGACACGGAATACTTGGACAAAGTCCCACCTAGCGTACATAGTGTAGGCCGAAAAAGCGCATGTGGCCGTACCAACATTTTTTCGACTTTTATTTGAACGGCCGACGGCTGAGCTAAATTATTACTGCAATGTTTTTCGAAATAAAACTGCTCCATAGCTTCGCATAAAGCCGAGTATGGTTTTAAAAATTCAATTTTCCTTCGAGTATTTTCTGGGCTTTTGGATTTTAGTAATCAATTTGCACGTTCAAAATGTTTGTTATACAATCTAGTTTTTGCTGAATAGACCCTTGATATAAATCGGCTAATGAGAGCTTAAAATTTATTAAATTTAGAGCTTAAATTTAAATACACTTTCTGCGATTGCCGTAAGAGCCCATATATGACCATACATTTTGACAGAAACTAGACTTTCTGATAAATGTCGACCTTCTTATATATTCCTATGACGATCATGGAAAATCCTTGTAATTAAAGGTAAAGTTTAGTATGTCACACAAACAGTAGGTAACACACCACGCCCCCTATTGCTTAAATAGTTAGGCAGGGTATAGTTATTTTTAATGGCATCAGCGATTATTAGGATAGTATCCTAAATTTGATTTTAATGTCCGTCTGTTACATTATTTAAAAACATTACACACGTATTATTTACGTTCTTAAAAAATTAAATACTTTCGATTTGTACTACCGTGTGACGTCACGATTTACTACATTTTATAGGGAAGCGTGACATAACCACCTCCCATTCCTAAACTTAACTCCGTTTTAATCTAAGTAATGTTCTCATAAAAGAAAAAATAAAAAATACGTGTCTAATATTTTTTTGACGGACTAATTACATTTTAATTTTCATACATTGTCTACAATGTCTACTACCCTATTGTCATAGACTGTTGATGTATGATGATATCAATAGCCTCAACGTCACCACAGATAACATTAACAATTGATACACTTATACGATACACAATACACATTTCATTGCACTTAACCCGATGACAAATAACTGTTGTAATTAATTGAATGATTTTACTGATAAATGATAAGATAAGGTATTTGCTTGTTTTTATGCGAATCCTTTGCGGTTGCGACACTCAAGGATGAAGTATTGCATTTAACTTGAATCAATTTAAGAATTTTAAGTCAGATATTATTGTACCCTCCCCCATCCTCGCGCGCATCCCGTGTAAGGCTCTTTACACATTGTACTACCGCGACGCTCATGCCACTACGAGCGACTTTCAAACTATTTAAAACTTTGCAACCACAGCCACCGTTCACTTCACTTGTGTTTTACATGCATACTTCGTTTTGCATGTGTCATAAAAACTACAATGGGTAAGTACCTATAATTACTCCATAGCATTATGAACCCTATTAACAGTGAATTTGCCTTCAACAGTTTTTTATTGACATCAAAGACTTCAGTATAAATAATCATCAGCTCTTTACCATGCAGTACTTGTCATAGGCTTCTCCAATAGTAAGTCAGGAATCTCAATCTTTAGCTTTTAGGGAACAGAGAGTATAGTTCCCTAAGATCGGAAAAGGAGGATCCTCCGACCAGGCGAGGTGATCGTGCCTGGCGGGCTTTCTGCCCAACAGTTGTTCGTTGGGATTTTCTATCCGTGTTTATTCGCTTGTAAACTTTACATGTGCGATGTAGGATTCTTGTGACGTCATCCGTTGACATGTGGCATGTGTCGCCACATCACTCCCTCCCAAGACCGGAGGTCGATCCCGCTGAGACGGCTGTCGATGCTTGAGATGAGTGGTGCCAGAACCAGTGTAGAAAGTCCCTAGTTCCAGTGAGTCGGAACTGTGCCGCTGAGTGCCCAGTGAGTCGGGTGAGCGGTGCAGGGTTAAACTCCAGTGAGTCGGAGAGATGAGTTCGCAGTGTCCCACGGTGAGTCGGGGAAGAGATGCTGCGAGGGTAGGTGCGTAGTGGCTGGCGTCTGCGTTGACGGGAGGAGATGTCCTTCAGAACCGTGTGCAGAAGTGCTGTGCCTAGACGCTAGTGAGGCCGTAGGGAAGAACCAGGCTGCACAACTTCGTTGCAGGCGATGGTGGTCCCTGATGAGGCCGAGGATGCTGGTTAGCTGCGACTTGATTACCGCTCAGCGGAAAAGTGATGAATGAGAGGGATGGCGATACGGATGACGGTGCTAATCTGCTCCGTGAAGTGAAGGTTGTTTCCAATCACGTCGGGGTCACCACTTTAGGGAACAGAGAGTATAGTTCCCTAAGATCGGAAAAGGAGGATCCTCCGACCAGGCGAGGTGATCGTGCCTGGCGGGCTTTCTGCCCAACAGTTGTTCGTTGGGATTTTCTATCCGTGTTTATTCGCTTGTAAACTTTGCATGTGCGATGTAGGATTCTTGTGACGTCATCCGTTGACATGTGGCATGTGTCGCCACAAGCTCTTACCACCCAAGCACTGACAATCACCTTACGGCTATCATCACAACTACACCAACTAGCTGGCCGATGATGGTCTTATCTACAAAAATAAAACGACCACAAGATTGTTAATCGTATAATCGAATCATGCGTAAATTAATCGCCAATCTCTCAATTAAGATTAGCAATTGAGTTTGTTATGAAGAAGATAAGGCAAAGATAATGTGTTTAAAAATTTGTATACGATACGTAGGTACCTACAGACTTGACAGATATAGTATTTTCTTAAATGTAGCATTCCCTTTAAGTCTTTTTTTATTTTTGGTGGGATAAAATTACAAAATCATCTTATGCCGTACCTAAGGCGGGAGAGATAGTGTCAGATTCTTACTGACTAAAAACAACATTGTTCATTATTTTGCTTTGAGCTGAATCCCCAATAACATTCTAGGCCGTCCGAAGCTCTGCATCAGGCATCAGCTCTGCTGGGCCCCGTCTATGGTGGTTTGATGGCTCTTGATAATTGATAATTTATTTAAATAACCATGATTTCACAAATGTTGATTGGTCCACGAAACCCAACCAAACTACCAAGCGCTACATATTTTGTTTAATTATATTTTTTTTAATAAAGAGACATAGACGTTGATTGAGTAATAGTAATACTTTGAGCATTGGCCTCGGCTTAAATCAAACTAAGTTAAAATAGTCAAATAAAAATCGGGGATAAATATAATGACCACCATAAAACACCTTAGTTTTGTAACCATATCTACTTAACACCAGAAAAATAAACTAACTCAACTTTAAATTGTATTCGACCACCAAATTTAGTAAATGACCACCAAATCTTGATAGGTTAGGTTTTTTTTTTTAGAGGGGGAAAATCTTCGAATGACTGCTCCCGCCTGGATGAGGTTAGGTTAGGTTTTTTTTTTTAAGGTGGGAAAATCATCAAATGGCTCATCGGTTCTCCGCGACAGGTTAGGTTAGGTTAGGTTTTAAAATGTTGGTTTAATTTTGGTGATCATTTACTATTTTGGGGTTACTCATGATTTACTTGGAGTCATTTTACTTAAATAGGATAGCAAAGTGTTAAAACTTCGGTTATAATTTTACGTTAAAATGCGAGTTTCATTTTGGTGATAATTTACTATTTTTGTCTGCTATTTGTTACTATATCTGGTGGTAAGTTAAACATAAGCCATAAAATCTCATAATATTTAACAGATTGGAAATCGTATGAAGGCGAAATGTTGGCAACTTAATCAACATGGAGGTCACACAGAAACAATCATAAACATTACTAGAAATGTTAAGCAATCTATCTATCAGTGATTTTACTCAACTACATTAGAATAACAACTACTTTAGATAAGATCGGATTTATAAAGGAACTATAGTGGACAATGTTACTGATAGTATAGTTTTAAATTAGCAATATGTCGGGTCTCGGTGCGTACCTATTTGTGATTTTAGCGTTAAGCAATTTTGTGTCTTGTGAAAGTGAGTAAAAGTTTATTTGATTTTATTGTATTTTTGCTAGATAGTTAAGGGTCAGAACTGCATGTGCAGTTTTGATCCGTTGGCTCGTTTACCGTCATATGCCATAAAAAAAAATAGATATAATCCGTGGGCGTATGACGCTACTTTTTTTTGGATACCGTCCTATCCATGAACGTCAGAGTGGATAGTCGAACTGTAAGTTTGGTGTCAACCAACCTGTAAGTAACACCTAACGGTACAATGACTCTCAGTCCACAGATCCGTCAGCTAGTTCACCGGATTATGCTATAAAAAAAATCGGGGCTTAGCTTAGGTGCTGCTACACGTTAAGCAACTCTTAGTATTAGAATTCGTTTACGAGTGGTTGATGACACTCGCATTTAACATTTACCTGAAATCAACGATGAAATCAGCAGTTTGTAGTGAGGTAATCCTGTACATTTATTTATTTCACCATAATTATATTACACCACTTTACAGAAGCAGTAATATGTTACTATGGAACATGGGCCACATATAGAAATGGCCTTGGCAAGTTCGACGTAGCCAATATAGACCCTCATCTCTGCACTCATTTGATCTACGCATTCGCTGGTATTGATGATAAAGGGACGCTGAAGTCTTTGGATCCTTATTTAGATCTACCTGATGGTGGTGGACGAGGTAAATTATATTTTATTTTATTTTATAAATGAAAAAATTACACTAATATTATTATGCGTTGCACATTTTCACATTCAAATAACCCTAAACTCATTCGTATTCATCATCACACTATCGTGCGAAAATGTTAAATATTATCGTAAGTAAGACCATTTGCAAAGGTCACCACGCTGACTGTAATGGTGATATCTGAGCCATTTCTGGTGTTTTCTTTGTGAAAATCTCTTGGGCCAACATCAAAATAAACTCTCACTAGAGTCTTAAGTATGTTTTTATAATAAATATCGTGAGGCATGCTAAATTAATAAAAATGAGAAATGCTCTACTAGTTTCGAACCACAGAGGGGTTCTTCCTTATGATCAGCGTGCGCGGTCGCGACGATGTCACGCAGTCCACTGAGTAGGCTACGCGACATCTAGTAGTAGGGAGAGTATATTCACGTGAGTAAACCGCGATTTTTAGTTAATTTAGTATGTCTCACGATAGTTATTACAAAAACATAGCAAACCGATAAGAGTCAAAAAACTAAATAATTTTGATTGATAAAATGTCAAGTAACACCTCACTCATTTCAGATAACTTTGGCAAATTCAACGCTTTAAAGAAGAAAAATTCAAGTTTGAAAACACTTCTGGCCGTTGGTGGATGGAACGAAGGGTCCGCTAAGTACTCAACAGTAAGTTTACTCCACTACTAACGACTTCAGTTTAAGTTTTGATCAGGTTTCCGTGACGTGGTCAGGGCAATTTTTAAAGTAACCAACTTAGAGTTGCTAACTTAATTTTTGTTTGAAACTTATTGCTTCTTTGAGTTTATAGCAACAGTGGCTAAGGAACATGTGGCATCGTACTTCAAGGTCTTCGCTGGACAATGTTTATTGTGCTTATTGTAGATTCATCGTGATATAGATACGGTAACATGGTAACACGCAAAATATTCGAGTAGTATGAGAATTGAATTTACGACAACTATGAGCAGCAATCAGTCGCCAAGCTTTTTTAACTGATGATGTTGATGATATTTTTTTTAAACGTTGCCCCACCTTAGGGTTTTCTCCTGTACCGTGGGTGCGTTTACAAACATACAAGTTCACATACACATGACACTCAGACCCGGAACAACAATCTGTAGATCACACAAAGAGTGATTCCGGTCGGGAATCGAACCGACGAATGGACGACTACTTACTCTGTATCATCATCCTTTACATTTTTTAAATAACAATTCACATTACATTTCAGATGGCAGCCAGTCCAACACTGAGAAAAAACTTCGTAACCAGCGCCTTGCAAATGATCACAAAACACGGCTTCGATGGTCTAGATATGGACTGGGAGTACCCTAACCGAAGAGACACAGTCCACGGCCAAGCAGACATTGATAATTTCACCACTCTGCTTAAAGAAATAAAAGCTGTTTTTGACAAGCAAGGACTGTTGCTTACTGCTGCAGTTTCTTCAGTAAGATCGGCGGCGTCGCAGTCTTATAATGTTGCCGAAATCTCAAAGTAAGTATTAATATTAATAGTCCAAAACAAGAAATAGAACAAAGAAATTTCAACTTTCCATCAACGCATTCATGACATATTTTACTATAACAAAATGTGCTCAGTCGTTAAATTCAATATGGCTGATTGTGCAATCAAAAATATGGGTTAAATAGATGACGAATGTGATTATTTTCTGTATGGTTCACAGTTCCATTAACTTTATTTGCGTTTAGAACTCCTATTTAAAAAACAACCACGTGACTCTGGCAACAACTAACTGCGTACCTAAATTACATCTATCCTTTTTTTTTGATGACGAGGGAATACCTTCTAAAGGCGCTTAGCTTTTTGGGGATAAAAGACTAGGGAGTGTGGAATTTTAACCTCACTAAAACCACTCCGGTGGCCACCCTCAACATCTGTATGAAGGCACCGGGTCCTCTAAAAGAGACCTGCTCCGGAGCCTCCACGGTGCAACGCCTGTTACGACACATCCCTAGAGAGACGGGTATCTCCTCCTCTTTGTTGTGTACGGCAGCACGTGACCACTGTGCCACCGTCTTCCCTGAGATCACAGGGTGGGCACCGGGTAGAGTACTCTACGCACCCGTGGCCCCAAAGAAAATTACGTCTATTCTAAGTATCTGCACTGATTACTCCTAATCTATTTGTAGATACCTGGACATGATACATATTATGACATACGATATGCACGGATCATGGGACTCTGTCACTGGTCACAATGCACCTATCCATCAAGGAGAAGGAGACGAGGGTGCGATTCCAGAAAACCTGTTCAACGTAGAACAATCTTTGAAATACTGGATTGGAGCTGGTAAGATGACTAGTTTTACTGACGTTACAAATTTGTTCTAGAATGTCGTTATCTGCATTATTTTGTTTCTGTGCATGCATATCTTTTATAATGAGAACATAACATAACATACCATCACGCCTTTTATCCCCGAAGTGGTAGATAGAGGTGCACATTACGGCACTTCATGCCACTGTACAATGTAACACCTACTTTTCACTATTTTATGTTATGAGTTCCATGTTTTAGGGAGGGAGCCTATTGCCACGAGATATTCTTTTCTTTTCTCATTATAATAACTAAATAAAGAAAAAGCTTAATGAGTGATTATTTAAAACAAAGACAGGACGATCAAATTAAAGAGAGAAATAAGACATGCATAGTAACAATATATTTCGTTCTTGAACTTCTTTCAGGATGTCCACCAGAGAAAATAGCTCTAGGAGTTCCATTTTACGGTCGCACCTTTAAATTAAAGGATGCTAACGACAATGGTGTAAGGGCTCCAGCTGCAGGAGAAGGAATATCTGGACCATACACTGCCACTTCAGGCTCCATAGGTTACAATGAGGTGAGTCATCAAACATGAATAGTGAACGTCGCCAGAGAAACATTATCAAAGATTAAAGAACAGAGGATGTTACGAGAAACAAACTTCAGCATAACTTCATATTTTTAGCATTGATGACTCCTGTCTTAATATTAAAATTAGGATATTACTAATGTTTATATCTGATACGTTACATTAGCATTAGCAAATCGAAAACACTGAACACAGAACAGTCTATCATATCTTACATTTAATTTTCTTAGTAACAAAAAATAGGCTCACCCCCTATTACATGGGACTCATAACATAAATAGTGAAAAGTGGGTGTTACATTGTACAGTGGCATAATGTGCACCTCTGCCTACCCCTTCGGGGATACAAGGCGTGATGTTATGTTAGTAACAAAAAACTAAACCACAAACAGACTCATACATATCAAAACACCTGAACAAAAGAAAACTTTAACAAAGTCAGCCATTACAACCACGATTTGAATGCAACAAAAATTGCAACTACACTCATAAAAACTTTGCTCACAACACTACGGGTCAAAGCAAGCCAACTTTACATTCAAATGTAGGTACATACATTCTATACATACTTACGTACTAGTATTATAAATGAGAAAGTGTGTGTCGGTTTATTTGTCCGTCTAATACGTCCCAAATTGGAGCGATGAATCGACGTGATGTTTTAAGTGGGGCTTGAGTGACTTAAGCTCCTTTTTGTCTCTGTAACTACCAAAAAATTATACATATTTTTTTGTAAATGTGCCCAAAACTCCCTAAAAGAGGGGGTTGCAATTTTATATGAAACTTTTCGTAAATTTCGACCACTACTACACAAACACTCTTTCAGTGTTCTAAATCAGGCAAGAGAAACCGTGTTATCCCGAATTTAATGCGAGTGGAACCGCTGCCACAAGCTTGTACTACATATGTGGCAGAACATCAAAACAATATCCAAGTAATTCACAGCTCGGTACAGTTGTACTATGATGCGGTTCTTCCATTAAACTAAGAAGAAAGGCAACCCACTCACATCCAACTTGTTCTGCACTTGCTTTTACTCCCGACTTCATAATAATATCATTTGAAAATTCACTTGGTACGAGGACAGCCATCTTTTATTTAAACTGTCAAACACCAAGCGGTCACCGGTGACCGCGACCTATTGTTCTTTAATTGTGTCTATAAAACCGGTACTCGACGAGTTAAATATGAATATTGTAGATATATTTATTAATGGCAAATATAGTTCCTAAGATTATTTAGACTATATTATGTACTTTCTAAGATTATTCAGACACCACTGACAATCGGTGAAGGAAAAACATCGTGAGGAAACCTGGACTTATAATTTTTAATTTCTAATTATAAGTTTGTAATGGCCAACCCGCATTGAGCAAGCGTGGTGATTAATGCTCAAACCTTCTCCGTGTGAGAAGAGGCTTTGCTCAGCAGTGGGCATTTATAGGCTGTTGATGATGAAATATAGTTCCAGCGTCGTATATTGGGTAGTGTATTTGTTTTAGAAGACTAAACAAAATACTGATTAAACTCTAAGAAATGCAGACCTAATCAAGTAATTTTCTATTATCCTAATCCATCAAGTAATTTTTTATTATCTTCTCTATTCTATATCTATTTCTAATCTATTGAATTGACTGCACGGTTGGCGCGGTGGCTGGACAACTGGCTGCGCGCAACGTGTTGCGGTTTCGATTCCCGCACAGAACAACACTTTGTGTGATCCACAGATTGTTGTTCCGGGTCTGGGTGTCACGTGTATGCGATATTGTATGTTTGTAAATGCACCCACGACACAGGAGAAAATCCTAGGGTGGGGCAACGTCTTAAAAAAAAGAAAAGAAATTATTCTAAAACATCTCTTACAAACATCGAACAATAACAATTTTTATACATATACATATTATAAAGAGAAGAAGAACCGACTCAAGTTTGAAAACTTCGTCCAACTTCAAAGCTGCAGATGGCATAAATTAAATTTTGGTGTTTCGTATCACTAGGGCGAGCAAAATTACCTTTGTTGAGTAATCAAGATTATTCAGACACTGTTTTACTTGGATGCTTTCTCGTATTACTTGTTTGAAGTGCATACATACATTTTAATATGATAACTGAACTATCGGAAGTGTGGGGGAGCCATGCTTCGACACGTATGGGCAAGCTCGACTGGAGTAAAACCACAGCCTCACAGAAAACTGACGTGAAACAACTCTCTTAAATTCTCCTAAATTCCCGAATCCCCCACAATCCTCAAATTTCCAATTTCCAGAAGGCCGGTAACGTACTTGTAACGCCTCTGGTGTTTCATGGCGTCCATGAGCGGTGCCGATTGCTTACCACATCAGGTGTTAAATTCCGTCTGCTCGTTTACCGGCTTATCTACAACTATTGAAATTGTAAAGCGCACAAAAAAAATTGCCAAGCGTAAATCTGGAACAATTTCTTTTATAATATTTTTTTCAGACAGCAAACGGGGTCCCGTGATGGTAAGCAATCGGTGACTTTCATGGACACCCCAAACACCAGAGGCGTGACAAGTACGTTACCAGCCTTCTGGAAATTGGAAATTTGCTTGCGTTGCCGACTTTCGGGGATTACAAATTTGAGGATTGTCAAGGGTTCTGGGATTCGGGGATTGGGAGATTGGGTAGGTAATTGGGCTAATATTTTCTCCTCACCATCGAGCAATTTCAAAACCTTCCCGTTAAAGTCAATAAAGCACGATTGTATTTAATCTATACCTATTACATGTGCTATTCATCGACTTCATAATAGTTTCGTTCAACATCACTAACATTTGTTACAGTTCTGCCAGAAACTTCAAACCGAATCCTGGACGCAACGCTTCGACTCACTCGCAAAAGTACCTTACGCAGTCAAGGACAAAGATTGGGTCACCTACGATGATGCTAACTCTATCACTGCCAAAGTCAACTACGCCAAGAGTTTAGGCATCAATAAGATCATGGTATGGAGCATAGAAACTGATGATTTCCATGATGTTTGTGGCAAAGGCACTAACCCTTTGCTTAAAGCTATTAATACTGCTTTGAGGAAGTAATTACATATGTCAATTTCTATGTTAAGTTTTTGTATATTCATGTAAATAAAAGCAATAAATATATTGAAATTAGAAAGAGCAGAATACCCCAATATTCAATAGGGTAGACGACTAATTTTTATTTTAAAGTCCGTCTGGTAGATTATTTAAAAACATTTGACACGTATTATTTATTTTCTTACGGAAACGAATAGTTTCAAAGATATTTTGATTTGAAATATCGCGTGACGTCACTTTTCAGTACATTTTATACTAAGAAATTACGTTTTAGCCCCCGCTCCTAAACTTTGATTCGGTTTATCTAAGTATTGTTTTATTATACGACAAAATAAAAAATACGTGTGTAATATTTTTTAAATACCTAACTTACGGACTAATTATATTTTTAATTTTCATACCCTGTCATCATCCCCATTTAGTAAGATCTGGAACAATCTGTATATTTAAAAGAGACCGGGCTCCATCACTCTCTGATGAACCTGAATCTTTTTTAAACTGCGATGTCTAAGCCGCTTGCCAAGCATAAAGAATGTAATAAACCCTCTTATGCAGAGTATATCCATAGCCAAGCAATAGGTTATCACTTATTACTGATGATGTAGATGATGATGATGAATCAGGCATACTTGGCAGGCATACAAACAACATTGCAACATAAAACTGCGTTCGACAAGGCCAGAAATTATATGCAACTCCCAACCAATTACCATTTACCTCACATCTAAATACATATTCTTCCTAAAATATATTTCGGAACTGGCGACAAAATTTTGCTTCCAGTTTCCACAGCGGCGATATTTGCTAGCGAATGCATTTCAACTTATAAAACTGTCATTTTCATACGATCCTCGAAAAAGGTGTGCAGTTGTGCACCGTTCCTACATATTATATGTACACACGGCTACACATCGAGCTTTACATAACCAGTATAAACTGAACGTTAAATGTGCGGAAAGATGATGCGACGCGACACCAGGATAAACTGGTTTTGTATTGGTTGATGTGTGGCCGTGTGTATCTAAGTGCAAAAGTATATGTGTTTCTTACGAGAATTTTCAGAATCCTTACTTATATTATAAATCGGAAAGTGAGTTTGTTTGTTTGTTCCACTATCACGCCGTAACTACTAAACCGATTGCTTTGAATTTTTGGAGACGTGAAGTTAGAAGTCTGGATTAAATAAAAGGGTACTTTTTATCCCGGAAAAATTGATATTCTCGAGGGAAAACGAAATTATTGGTATAGATGGCGCTGTGTGTATTGGTATATGTCACATAGGCTACTTTTTATCCTTTTGTGACGCGAGCGAAGCCGCGGGTAAAAGCTAGTATTGGATAACTAAGAACTAGGTATAGCTTATTTTTTCTCATTTACAATGATGAGAAGCACAAAAGCCATGGAATGTAAGAAATTAAAGTCCTCAACAGAAACACACATTAGTCATCGCATTTATTTTTCTTGCGGGTGTTGTAAGTACAAAAGGATACAGATGATTTGAGAGGGACCAAACAGAAGTCTTCAGAAGACAACCATTGGGTTGGCATTGGCGGAGCTTAAAGATTAAGTATGACAAACGCCTCTGATATAGAGAAGGCCCAATAGTTCAGCAGCGGACTGTCCCCAAAATGTTAATACCTAACTACGTAACATAACATCTCGCCTTTTATCCCCGAAGGGGTGCACTTTATTATGCCACTGTACAATGTAACACCCACTTTTCACTATTTATGTTATGAGTCCCATGTAATAGGGGGTAAGCCTATTGCCATATACCGGGCACAATTGCAGACTCCGTGCTACTACTGAGATTTTTTTTAATCCCAGTAATACTTTGCCCGACCCTGAAATCGAACTTGAAACCCCTTGTCTGGCAGTCGCACTAGCAAACACTCGGCCAACGAAGCAGTATACCTAACGTTTATTCTAAAAGCATCCTTCGAAGGCGGTTATCATCGATTCATTCTTAAAAAATCTTCTCTCTAATAGAAGTCGCAAAGATACAGATATCATGTAATAAGTTTTGTCTCGTTCTTTTTATTTCGACTTGGATATATTCAAGGAAAATTATGTAGCTCATTCAAAAAAGGTAGGTACCATCGGTAGGTACCTATGTATATGTGAGATTTTTCATCACGAACAATTTGTTAAAATGTATTATAATGGATGGAAGTGACACTGTAACTTAGGTACCTACATTTTAATATTTTTCCGAGTCTTAGAATACCCGTAAATGACGGCAAGTGTTTTAGGTAACTTTTAAAAAATGTAACCTTATCTATAATTCACTCGCATAACTCAGTGGAAGGTTATTCTCAATTAGAAAATAAAAATTACTGACTTTTTATGCGTATTAGATTAAATGTCAGCATTTGACATTTAAATGTCATATTCTACGGCAAATAAATTAATAATCACATTCTTAGGCAATCTGTCCACATTGGGTCATTTAATGAATGCATTCATTCGTCAAAAACGATAAGCGGATTTAACGCCTGCTTCATGGCCAGTTTTCATTGTTTCTAAGCAAGATGCAAGCACTTTGTCATTTGTAGACCGTCTATAGTTTGTGAAGGATGCGCGCATTCGTCAAATGACGTAACGTGGATAGTTAAGAAAATGTGTCTTCATGCTTCTATCTACCGACAAAATTACACATTAGACAGCAGAAATAAAATCAACTTCCAGTATCTGCCTACAACTTACAGTGTCACCGCCATCCTGTATTTCGTAAGAATACGCGCAAGAAGGTCTCAAATAACCCTTATTATGGAAGCTATAAGATATAATTTATATTACCCCTTATTATCTTGTGTTACGATTTGAATTTCTTATATATATTATTGTCTTGAAAAAAAATTGTCTGATAGAATTAGACTTTTAGTTACATAAATAATTATAGCCATCTCGTATATTATATGTGGCTTTAGAAGCAACTAAGCCTTCGTTTTACTCGATATTTAAGTGAGATAACTATTCCATTATTGAAGTTGATTTGTATTATAGGTAGGCGTACTCTAGCATCGGTCACATCATGGCTTACCACCAGGCGAGATGGTGGTCAAACGTCAACCTATAAAGTACCAAAAAAAACCCGTAACTAAGACTGCAAATCAGTGTCTTTTAACCAAACGCCACTTTAGCGCTTGTCTACAGAGAGAGTAGAAAACTAAATTTATGGGGATGATACTGACAAGTGTCAACATTTACGTCAATTCCATATAATTTGGTTTTCTATTCTACAAGTAGAGAAGCGCTAAATGGTATTTGGCTACAGCTGCAGCAATGAAACATGTTTTAAATGCACCTTCCACCATCATCGTCATCAGACGCCTATACAAAACACATACATAGTTGAAAAATATCTATAATCCTAGGAAAGTGAACTATATGTTGAACTCCATCGACACAAAATACCGTACTCCTGTTCTGTACAATCCTACAAAGCTGCATAGTACTGTATTGTGTCCTTTAAGCCTTAGTTCTGTTGGCCGCTCAATCACTAGCGTCATACCCAAGAACACAACAACACAGAGGGCTCCAAACTGTCAAGGAACTCCTCAAAACTCACTCACTGACTTATAAGTTGTAACTAACTTGTGCCACCCCTACTATGGGAAGATGAATCAGATGGTAATTTGATAATTTGAGTAAAAATAATGTTTTTTTTATGGCATAAGCCGGTAAACGAGCAGACGGATCACCTGATGGTAAGCAATCGGCGTCGCCTATGGACACCTGGAACACCAGAGGCGTTACAAGTGCGTTACCGGCCTTTTGGGCATTAGGAGTTTGAGGATCGTTGGAGATTCAGGAATTGGGGAGATTGGGGAAGGGTAGGGTAATTGGGCCTCCGGTAACCTCACTCACACGACCAAACACAACGCAAGCGTTGCTTCACGTCTGTTTTCTGTGAGGCCGTGGTTTAAAAACGTTCTTATCTTAGTTAATCAGATTTATGAATACCTTCTTTTTCAAACCTTTTTTGAACTAGTTTTAGATCTACACTGAGTCGTCACTAGATTCAGCTGAATGTTCGTGTTTTGCTTGGCATTTACTCCACAATCTACTGAGAGGTTTGAGAGGGAATTTAACAGTATCTAATCACCGGGTTACTTTATTTCGATTGAAAGATACTAGTCGTCTACCAGATCTAGAAGTATGTACCTGTAAAAATTAAAAAAAATTGCGGTTGGAAATCGGATCAATTAAGACGTGCAAATAATTTTATTGGATTCGGTCAATAGGGCACTACTCCGGTAACCTTCTGACCTCGATTGACCTCATCCCAATATAACCTTTCTAAAACATTAAAAGAATCCCACGTCTAACCCTCGTTAATAAAACCATGCTTTACAGACCAAAATGCCTTCATCTTTATCGGATTTTCGAACTACTACTACGGCGTAGCAGCACGTAGCGGTTTACGTCAGCTACGAATTTCGTAGTAAGTAAACTGCTACGCATCGAGTTGGACAATCGGATTTGGTCATTCAATTTAGTACATAGTTCATTTCTGAATGTAGATAGATTCTTCGTATTTTGAGAAATTATTGTTAATTCGAATTAGGTTTACCTAATCGAATTCGCATTAACATACATTTCATCTTTAGACTATAGGAATAAAAACTTATTGTAATCTCCTGACGCCATAACAATTCCTCACCTTTTTCCAATAGTAGAGGACTTTGATGTGGATCACAGAATTCAAAAACTTCACTCTCACAACTCGTGAACTCTTACAAATGCTTGTTTTATTGCCATCACTTTTTTACTGGTGGCAACACCGGCTAAAAAGTTGCCAGAAGAAAAATTTGAGGGACGTGACGTTTTTCCGTTATACGTTATTACTCGTAACAAATACGAATGCTTTGTGATACGCATTTATAATGTGACACTGCTACTGATATTAGTATTAATGAGGATATTATTTACTTCGATATCTGAAATAAAATTCCAAGAACTGAGATTTCATTTGAAACTTCAGCTGCATATTATATGAG